AACGTGCACAAAAAGACTTCTCGAAATGCACCGACTTCTTCGCATAGATAGTGATGGTGCCCTGAAAAGTCTCCACCACCGATGTGTGCCGAAACTCGACGTAGTACGGCGTGATGTTAGTGCTGCATTGTTATCGAGAACACGCAGAACGAGCTCGTAGACCGTGTCCGTGCGGCTACACAAAGGCAATCGTGCACGCCCACCGGCCTTCTCGCAGAGAACCTCCCTACCGTCCACACATCCTGAATGATCACCAGCCCAATGATCGGCGACCAACATGATGTCGCAGTGTAGACTGTCCGCGTCTCCGCCCTCGTCCCTGCACAGCTGGCAAGCGTGGAGGAACCACATCCCAACCTCATGTGCATGATACTCTGTCAAGCCGTCTGGATCAGTCTCTAGCGCTCGAGGATTCAACCTTGATCCGTAGGGGTACATCTTACGCATGACGACAGCGACGAAGTCCGATTTCTTCAGCCGCTCCTCAGCAGGTGTGAGGACGTCAGGTCCAAAACGTTGCTCCAATGCCTCCCTTAGCCGCTTCTTCGTGAACTGCATGAACTGCGCCTCTGATACACAGTCGTGCGGGCTGCTCACTTTCTTCACTTCCTTCAGTTGCAGCATACTGTGGAAGTGCTTTCAAATGTTTTTTATTTTGTGGTGGCAATCTTTCTGCCACTCCATGTTCATAGCTCACAACTTCGGTCTCAGTGCCGCACAATCATCCGAGACAACGCACCGGATCTTCAACCCCTTGTCCATCAGCCCTCGCAAAAGTTGCATGACGGCTGGCACCTCAAGCGCATTCGATGCCTTGCCTTCAATCTTCGGACGGAGAGTGTGAACACCTACAACAAGCCGAGTCTCGTACTCCATCGCAGTGACAGTGCAATGCTGCCCGCCTCTGGCAAAGTCATATCGACCATCAATCATCAATGTCACTGGCTCACCATGGCGCATCACAGTGTCAATGGCAAGCTCACAATATTTTATGCCCTGCCGTACGACCTTGGCATTCCACCCCTCCGCCCCCCCCGGTTCAGTGCGCATAAACTTGTAGAATGTAGGTTTGTGCACCGAGCACATCCCTAAACAAACACAAAAGTTGTCGAGTAGCGTAAACGTAAGGCCGACGGTGACCATCGCATGAAAGAGCTGCTGCATCAGTCGCGACTGATAGACGTTCGTGGTCACGAGTGTCGTGTGCCACGTCTATTTGCATTTCTTGTCGCATATGAACGTCAGCTTACAGAGCTGCGCAGGATACGAGACGGACTTCACAGACACACGGCACGAGCCCTTGTGCCACGGGCAATATAGATGAAACATGGCGAGCAATTGAAGAAGCTTAACCGGCTCCAGAAACACAACACATTCAGCGCCGTCGGTCCACTCCATCTAGCCATCGCCTTCTCAACACTGGTACGGTCAATTTCAGGTCCAGGACCGCACTGGTCAACACCGTCCCAACTATCCCACCACGTCTGCGGCCGGGCAGGTGTCGGTGTGCAACGACCTGCGCTACGGGGTCTGCCGCGCCCTCTGTCACTAAGGTGCGATGCACGACGTGATGACGGGAACGAGTTCTGCGATCCGTCATGAGACTCACCCAAGCCTCCGCT